CAAATCGTCTGGGAAAACTTGGTTGACCACAAAACCCAAATGGATTGTCTGCTGGCTGATCAGTTTCCACTCCCGCATAATGTTCTGATACGACCAACCAATTTATTTTGAGACTATCTGCCAGTGTACAGTGCCTACAATCATATCCCTTTGCCCCCCCCTATGTCACAATTCTCCCCAACACCCCTGATTCCCCGCAGCCCCCCTTTCCACCCCTCTCCCGCCAACTTCGGGTCCCTGTCCATCTCACCTCCCCCCTGCCCTCTCCCACTATCATTGCCTCCACCATTGCCCTCCGGGCCCCTCCCTTTCGCTCACTCCCACTTGCCCTTGCACTTCCTTTTTTTTTTTTTTTTTTTTTTTTTCAAATACTGCCCAGGTTGTTGTAGAGGGCATCTCGGTTGGAAGGCCGGAACGGAGATATAGTGATTCTCGATCTCGTTCTCACTGTTCTCTTGGGTGGTTACTAGAATGATATAATCTAATAATAACGTTGTGTGGTTCACACAGACTTCAATCTTGGTCGTATAAATGTGTGTTTTTCACCTCGATTCCTGATTGCATGAGTGTTATCTCACCTCTGTTGTAGAGGCCCGGTTCTAGACACACGGTGGTCTCCGCATCAGTCAATCATTGCCTTTGGTTGTCCTGACAATTGCTGCATTTGGGAGACCGCTTCCCATTGCTCCCAATCCATCCTCTCATCAATTCTCCCAGTGCACCCCCTATTCCTTATGTCCTACCTCAGTGTTAAAGCACAAGTGCATCCATCTATTGGCCACGAACGCCCGTCACTGCCGTCAGAATCCAGTAGGCGACACAGGCCACCGATTTCTTTTTATCAAAGGCACGCCTGCACCGCCTTTTCCGGAAGAAACTCGTAGGCGACAAGTTTCTTTTCAGCAAGGCAGGGGCTGTGTACTAGCGGTCTAAGCCACCAGTACTTGCCCCAACTATCAAGTCCGAGCCTCCGCATACCCGTAGGCCAATCCGTGTCGAGGCTTGGACTACCAGATGTTCGATTCCCGGAGCTAGTGTTGAAAGGTACAAAAACAAAAAGAGGAAAACAAAATAAATAGTGGAAGGAAGAAAAAAGAAATAAGAAAAAGAAATAAGAAATGAAAACAAATGGAAGAAACAACGGACTTGCTTTCTGTTCCCCCCCGCATGCGCGCGAGAGAGAGAAAAAGAGAGAGCGAGCAAGAGAGAGAGAGAGAGAGAGAGAGAGAGAGAGAGAGAGAGAGAGAGA